TGAATCAATTTTGTGTTAACACAAAAGAAAAGAGCAAAAAATAGTGCATTCCTCAAACTATGTATCCAAGTTGGCATAGTCCTGACGAATCGTCACCGGCCACAGCAGCTGCAGCTTCTGTTCAACCGTACTGGAGTCAACATGTCAATCAGGCTACAGCTACTGCAGTTGCTCATCAAAAAGTTGCCGCAGTTGCCGCTTACGAACCATTGCTGTATCAGCAAAATTATATGAAAAATATGCTTGGAGCTGCCGCTCAGTGGGTTGAATCGTCCAGCACGTAAGTTAATCTAATCTTATAGTAGCTGTTTTTTTCTCCTCTTAAATATATCTAAGAGCACTTTTTTAGCACTTTTTTTCAAACTCGGTTTTAATAGACTTATTTATCTGATTTGTGTCGGTTTTTGAATTATATTAAATCAACCGTGTTATGGATTAATCCGTAGATGGATACTGTAACAGTTTTTGATTTGCACTATATCCTTATTGGCAGCACTGCTGATGTTGATGTTAGTATTATTGGTGTTGCTGGTGATAACGCTCATCCTCAGCTAGTTTAATTAACTGACATTTGTTGTTCTTCATTTTCTTCTTCTTCTAATTTGTTCTTTTAGTTTTCAGTTTTAAATTTGTTGTGAATTTCTTTCTTTCAAACATTACAGTATGTAGAAGAAGCTTCATTGTTTTTTTCTTTTTGCATCATCTATTTCGTCATCGCCTTTATTCCTATCCTTTTTCTTTTCTTCCTTCTTCTTCATCTTCATTTTCTTTTTCTTCTTCGCTTGTTGACATGTTTTCCCTCAGAAAAACTTCTTCAGATGGTCTATTTATTTTGCCAATTATGAATACATTTAGTTTTCTCATATGATTTGTTAATCGCTGAAATCGTCTTTCTTTTTCTCTTTAGTGAATCGTTGTGCTATTAGCCGAAACATAAATGCCTGATTTTTGGTTGATTTAAGAGATGTTTAGTGTGAAGGAATATCCGTTCGCTGTTTCTCCTCCCGCCCTTAATATCTATCCCCCATTTTCCTCCCCGCTGCCCCTTTAGCGGTTTTGCGAAAAAAAAAAAAAAAAAA